TATGCATTATACTAAAACATGTGTGTACAAATGGGGACAACATATGTATGCTGCAATACAAAACAGTGAAAATAATGCTTCAAGTGCTAAGATATTTTACATATAATTACTTTAAATGCATATTTTGCCAACATTATACATTACTGCAAACGAATAAAAAGATGTTCAATACATTTAGATTGTTTTAAACAGAAATCACTTATTTCTCACTCCACAGGGGGCGTTGTAGGAAGGACAGTGACATAGCATTGTCTATAACGTTAAAAATATATATATCATTAACACTATTGTTACTCTATTATACAACTCATTTATAAAGTAATGGTCGTATTTAAGAATTTCTGAAGAAACAGAGATTATTTTGTTTTATTTCTTTCGGTTTCAAACTACTATTTCCGGTTTAAAGGTCATAGTGAAGAAAGGTCAATGTGTCCTTCCACACGTGTGTTCCATAATCTTGAAGCAGGCAGCAGTAACGGGGAGTTAGCCGGTAGCTGTGAGCTGTCAAACCTATTTATCTGCACTAAAAGCCTTCACACATTTCTACACAGTCATGCTAAAGTCAGTTGTCCGTGCGGTGGGAGCCGCTGTCCGCATCTCTTCAGTTGCCACTTCCACAGCCCGAACCCTGCCTCTTAGCTGCCCGACACTGTGCTCTCCAAGCTCGGCCACAACTCGGCCCTTCACCCGGTCTCTCTGGATGCTGAACAACAACGGAGCGTCGTCAGGATACAGGCCAAAACTCTTCAGTTCAAAAGCGTTGAATCCCTCGATATCATGTGGATGTGGAAGCCTGCACACAGAAGGTACGTTTGGATGTGAAAGTTATTAATTGATCAAGCTAGCTTGCTTCGTATATCAGTCAATATTAACCTAGGTTAAATGGCGAGAGAATAAAACGATTAACTGTGTAGGTAAGACCTCATGTCAACATTTCTACTCAGAAATTATGTAATTTATGTAATTTTCTCATCAAATGAAGTCTGTATCATCCCACTGTTAGCTAGCAATCACCTTGAAAGATGTGTTCAGTTGTCCTCATAGAATGTAGTTAAAACGATAACTTGCAAACAAATAATAACTGTGGTTCACAAAGTCATGTCTTTGTGTGGTTTGTGTCGACATGTGTTTTTGTAAATATGTTAAGTATTACACATATATATATATATATATATATATATATATATATAAAACCGAATTTTTTTTTTTCAATCGGTCAAATATAGATTGAGCATTTTAGCATGGTGTGTACTGCACACTGTGGTAACGACCTATAATGAAAAACTTTAAAGACATAAGCTAACAGAACTTGCAATGAATAGTTCAATCAAAGTTGTAAGAAGGGAACAGCTACTCTTACATGAACATGAGTATTAAGCATTGTTGTAGGTTGCTTTAAAGATATTCTGTAAGCAGTTAGAATCCATTAACCTACAGGAAACATAATGAAGTTGTGAAGATTGGATTTTCCAAAAATAAAAAAAATCTAATGATTGTATAACTTTTTCAACAGGAGACAAAGCATTTGGTGCTTTCCTGTCTGATGAAATCAAAGAGGAGCTGAAGATCCAGAAAAACAGCAACCTTCCTAAGATGTCTGGAGGATGGGAGCTGGCTCTGAATGGCACAGAAGCTAAACTCTCAAGGAATGTTGCCGGAGAGAAGTAAGTCTTGTGCAGTCTGTGATTTATACAAACCTTACTATTAATACGTGGGCACACTAACAAGCTCATAATCTGTTTTGTTTTTTTACAGAATCACTGTCACATTCAACGTCAATAATAGCATTCCTCCTAACTTTGAGGAAGAGGCAGAGCAGGGACAGCAGAAATCCGCAGAGGAAGAGGTGAGTTACAGATAATCTGTATTACGTGTGAGATGTCATTGCACTGGATAGTTGTCTTTTAATCACAAATGGACTGAAAAAAACCTTTAACTTCATAACATGATTGTAATTATTTTTATTTCTTTACAGCCAGAAATTGTATCATCACCCAACTTTGTTGTCGATGTAACGAAACGGGGTGCAAAACATTCCCTGGTGTTTGACTGCCATTTCCCTGAAGATGAGGTAAGCAAAGCCTGCATTCGTTTGCACAGAACAGTGATGCATCCTTCAATCAGTCTTATATAATCCAATTTAATGTAGCCAGTTAAATAACAAAGTGCTGTGTGCGTGACATAAAACTAAATGCAGTTACGTCACACCCCTACAAGTACTTTAAAATAACATGACATTCATATTTTGGATATTGTCAAATGGCAGAAGTGGCTTTTTTCCTGGTTTTAATGGCTATAATATAGTCAGGGGTGCTTTTTTCTGAACTTACCATACTGTTCTATTATTTTCCTTTACATGCTTAGTCATAACACCCACATAACTGATGATTACTCTTTGAAATGTCGCGGTCTAAAAATTGCTTGTAAATCAGTTTTATAGTCGCCCCTAAAATAGTGTTGCAGTATCCATATTGAGGTATTTGGATACACATTTTGTAATGACAGACATCTCCATATTGCCTTAAGCCACACACAAACGAACGCATCGTGTCATCAATGTGGACGCTCTTACCGGTGTTTGAAAAATACGAAGCTCGCAATTTGCAACTCCTGCAAGTCTAGAATGAACTGTGAAGGAATAACTACAATGTTTTGATGGCTGGAAGGTCCTGTAACTTGGTGCAGTTATGGCGATCATTTTAGTTATCTAATATCCATGCTTTATTATGAACTTAAATGTACATTTCCTCTAAAAGAAAAGTAACAAAAGCATTTGGGCATATTGTCAATTATACTTCTTTGGAATAATTGTCAGACTTTTAATGGTGCATCTTAGACATTACAATGTCATATTTACAGCGTGTCTTTGACCTTTCACTCCGAGACTTTGAGTGTAACAGAAAATCTGGATTTGCGTTTTTGTAGGTGAGTCATGCTGAAGGAGAAGAGGAGAGCGACATCTTTGCCATTCGTGAGGTCAGTTTCCAGCCTGAGGGAGACACAGACTGGAAGGAGAACAGCTACACACTCAACACAGACGCTCTGGACTGGGTAAGATCTAAGGAAATAGATTAATAACCTATACAATGTAAAAATCATGTTAATAAATCAGATGATAGCTGTAATTAACACTAGAACATTTTAACCTCTTTACTTTTGTTTTTTTCAGGCTCTGTATGACCACCTGATGGACTTCCTGGCTGACCGCGGGGTTGACAACACCTTCGCTGATGAGTTGATGGAGCTGAGCACGGCCGCCGAGCATCAAGAGTACATCAAGTTCCTGGAAAACCTCCATGGCTTTGTCAAATGTAACTAATGTTAGGTATAATTAAAATTTCACTATTCTTCAAAACACATCCTGGCAAAGTTGAAGGTTTGATAATATAATACAGCTAAATCAAATGCTGCAGCGCTGATTGACACCTTTGGAAATCTAAAGAGACTCAGTGTATGTGGCAGTCAGCCTTCTTGCCAGCAGTTGTCACATCAGTACATTGCTGCAAACATTTTCTTTTCCTTTTTGTTCTTTCTTTTTTATTTGACTATTTTTCTGTAACTTAAATGAGAGTTTAAATTAAATATATGAAGTTCATAAATAAGGCTGGTCACGACTCTGCATATACCCCTTTTTATTAAAAATGTCCCTCAATTGTAGAGTTCCTGTCTTAATGCACAGGTTTCATATGGTCCAGTCAGTAATTGTCCAACTGTCCTTAAGCTAATAAAGGGATAATTTGACAAGATGTGTACTCTGTTTGCAAAAAAATCCTCACTTATCTTGTGCTTTTACTGTTCTCGTCTTACTTCTATGTTGACTAACATTGATTTGACTCGGTCAGACCATAATTTGTGAATTATTCATCTGAATGGCATGTGTTCAGAGAATGAAAGGTCATTGTTCAATAAAACAGTTTGATATAAATGGATGATTTATCATTTTTTTTATGTCAAGTAAATCTTTTAAATGCACAACAGGCCAAACACCTTGGTACTAAAACATATGTCCACTGGTTTCAGCCCATTTTCAGACAACAAAGTATCTTCAGCTTTTAAGGCCAAATGTTTCTTCTCTAATTGTAAGAAATGCAACATTTTCCCTGTTCATTTTTTTTTTACATGGGTTATTCAAAATGTTTGCAAGTTTAGTTAATTAAGATTAATTAATCATTTGATATTCTTTGATTTAACGTTTGAAAATAATACATATAGCTTTTTTCATGCGCCGCCTGACTCGAAAGTGCAACTGGTGTTTAGTAATCCCTCGGAAATGTTTCAATATCCATATGGGCGCCTTGCTATTTTAGCATGAATTAAAAAACCTGTTAACCTATCTTTTCGGTAAAGTGCTTGAGTAAATGCTCTAATTTACTTTCCACACCTGGCTACTTGAAATTAAAAGGATGTCCTCCTAGTTTAGTTTAACACGTAATTACTCTAATATACTCCTTAATATTTGAATGAAGTAAAATAAGCAATACCACTGTAAAACAAATGCATTCAAAATCTTTAAAAGTCTAAAAGCATCGGTATCAAATATATATTCAAAAGTTATGGACAATTAACCATTTCACAATATTATTATTGAAGCAATAGCCTAATGTGTAAAAGCATCACTAATTTCGCAACTGGTAAAGGTGGAACGGATTTTTCCTTACAATCTGTTTAGTATCCTAATATCTCTATATGAATTATGTTTTATATAAACTGGCTAAATATGGAAATATTCAAGACAAACGTTTACCTGATGACATTAATGAGTTCATGTACTTCAATTCTAAAATTAGCTATACAAATATATAGTTTTATATTTTAGTTGAAAAATGCCAACCTGGAGTTTGATATAGTACAGTAGATGTTAATCCAATATTGAGGACTCCAGACAATAACAATATTTTCTACAAGGCTTGGTCTATTAATAATTAGTCTTCATTGATTGGTGGTGAGGAGGACTTTACCACCTCATGGAGTTGACATAATGATAGAAGCTGTTGCTCAACAATCCACACCGTCCCGCGCTGAGCTGTGAGGGAGACCCACAGATGTCTGTCAGCTGGAGGGTGCGGGTCTCGGTGCTGTTATCAAGCGGCGTTCCTTTTGGAATATCTCGAGAAAAGGGGGAGGAGGGGGGAGTCAGTTGAGGAGAAAGTTCACAGTTCTGCGGACAGTCAACACCGAGTGAAAGCGAACCATGGCGGGCAAAGGGAGAGCGTGTTCCTCCGGTCAGAGCCAGCAGCTCCTGGACTCCTCGGACTCGGAGGCAGAGCCGGTTCGAGTGGCAGGTACCGGGCTGTCCGCCTGCGCCTTCCCCCGCACTCAGGTCATTCACAGCGGACACTTCATGGTGTCGTCCCCCCACAACGACTTTTCGCGCAGGACGAAAAGCGGCGGGTCCACGAGTTATGACTTCGACACGGTGAACCTGACGTGGTGCCAGACGTACCGGTACGGTCCTCTCAGCTCCGGGAGCCTCAGCATAGACCCCACGCTGACCCGCCTGTTCGACTGCATGTCCCTGGCCTACAGGTGAGTCCCCGTATGTAGTCAGCACAGGAGGATACAGTACACACAGCTCACACTTGTTAGCTGCTTTTCATTTGCAAATTAACAGAGGGAGAAGTACTCAGTAGAACTACCAAAGTGCAGGAATACTCTGTTACAAGTAAAAGTCCTGCATTAAAAACCCATTTCAGAATAATATGATATGTTTTGATTATGATTATTGATGCACTAAAGTGTTATCAAAGCTGGTAAAGGTGCAGCTAGTTTGAATGACTTTGTAGACTGTACTTGTATACTATGCTGCAGGGTTGCTTATGGATTTACTCCAGGTGTATCTAAAGTCTTATTTAACTGTTTAATATAATTAGTCCAACTCAGATAACTAAAGGTATAAAATAAATGTATTGGAGTAAAAGTACACTATTTGCCTGTGAATTGTAGTGCAGTAGAAGTACAAAGTAGCAAAACATTGAAATACCCAAGTAGCCTATTCTCTTACTTGGGTATTTCTCTCTCAGAATTGTACTTATACTTGAGCATACATACTTAGCTAGGCTACTTAACATCACTGCAAATTATCCCCATATAATACGTTTTTTCTGAACCATAATCCCATTTACTTCTTTTTGATTTCCTGTACATTAACGCATAATAAGCAAGTAGAAACCAGGGTCACTTTCATGTTAACGTTTTATGATGAAATAGTGCACATTTGTATATTAAACATTGCATATTCTGTTACACAAACTACCCACAGTGCACATGAAAAACCTCCACAATAACATTTTAAAAGACTGATATTGTTGGTTTGTAACTCGTGTCTGTTGGAAGAATCTCTTGTGCAACCTCTTGGAAAATCTTCACTGAAAACTGGACTTTGATTCTAGTTGGCAGCGCTGTCAGGTTACAGTGTAACTGAGGGAAAGGAGATCCTGACACCATGCTCATTTGAGAATGTGCTTATTATATTGTATTTCTTTTAAAAACATGTGATTGAGAATTTTAAATTAAACTTAAGTTGTGCTTTAACAAGAGGTGCAATAAACCTTTGGCCTAAGGAACACTTTGCCTGTGCAATTGTTTAAAAATATATAATTGAAAGATAGTTGCACAATAAACCCAGGTTTTGTTTTTTATAAAGTAGCTTTATATTGAAGAACGTATTCATTATTTACTGTAAGGTGTTTTATCTAAGTGCTTTTTGTAAGGTTTAAACAGTATTATGTGAAGGACCCTATTTGTGCTGCTCTGCTGCACAGAATTATCATTAACCAGACTTGTTTTTTTAAGTAATGTACTGTCTCTGCTGTTTTGGAGTGTGGGGCACGCAGCGTTGTCACTCCATTAACACCACGTTGAAAATCATTCCCCAGGGCTTCTAGGCAACTCACTGAGCACCTCACATTAGGAGGCCTCTGCTCAGCACTCAGCAGACTGAGGGACGCTGAGAAACAGCCTGCACTGTACTGCTGAATTAGCTGATTGGTCACTATTAATCAAAATAAGGACAGGGAGTGAGGGGGTGAGGCTACTGAATATTTTCCACTGTGTCCACTTTGGTCTAAAGAGAATCTAGTCACCTGTCTCGTATTGTTTTTAAGACACTATAGGCGTATAAGGTACATTTTGTTAAGTAATATATCACCTTTAGCCAGACTGATAACTCAACATTGTGCTTTTTCTACAATGTTAAGTTAGAATATGGAAATAATTGTCCTATTAAATGTGTATTTGCATAGATTTCCAGAACAGAAATCTGAACATTGTACAAAGCCTGGTTTTAAATTATTGTTTTATTTTATTGACGCATGAATAACATTTTCCATGAGGGGATTTATACATCAGCAAACAATGTTAAAAATCAGAAAACACTGTTAAAAATCTTAGGTCTATAAATCAGGCTACAAATGATTCTTGAACATCTCTGAAGTTTGGCGTTTATAAGTTCTACTTTAACTAATAGATATTACCATGAAACACAAATGTATCACTTATGATAAGACATTGAAAACCTTTTTGAAGTGTCTCTACAAAATAAGTATATTGCCTGTTTTCCATTGTATCTTTTATGATAGATTATGTGTTTTCTTTCCAGTGGTAAGATAGTCTCTCCCAAGTGGAAGTCTTTTAAGGGTCTGCGGTTGCTGTGGAGAGATAAGATCCGTCTGAACAACGCCATCTGGAGAGCCTGGTTCATTCAGTGTGAGTCCACCACTCTTTACCTCCTCAGCATCGCCTTCAGCACCTCTCCAGTATTCAAGTTCAAATGAAATATGTTTGAACAACTCTGTATCTGCTGTTTAGATGTAGAGAAGAGGAAGAACCCAGTGTGTGGGTTCGTCACACCGCTGGAGGGCTCAGAGGCCGACTCGCATCGGAAGCCTGAGGTGAGAGAGTTTCAGAACGAGGCCATGGATTTGTAATAATGTTTTTAAAGCTAAAATACAGAGCACTTAAAACATTTCAGGAATAATGATTAAAACCAATTACACACAACAATAGGTGGAAATAAAGCAGCATTACCCAAGAACAAAATAATGATAACACAATCAAATCAAGTATTGATTGATTAAGTATTTCAAGTTTGTGTATTTATATTTATATATGTGCAGTTCAACAGTGGTATAGTATGCCCTGTCTAAAGTATTGAATTAAGTCAATCTGTACAGATTACAAATATTTGAGTTTTCTCCAAAACTTTGAAATAGAGGGTTGCATTTGTACAATGGAACCCGGCTGATTAAACTGGATTCTTTTAAACTAAGCTTATAAATGGGTAAACTGTATATAGCTGAGTTTTATTTATTGTATTGTACACTGGTGAAGTTGGATATGTAAGTCTCATGCTTGGTATTTCTGCATAATGTCAACAGGCAATTGTACTAGAGGGCAGCTACTGGAAAAGAAGGATTGAGGTGGTGATCAAGGAGTATCACAAATGGAGGATTTACTATAAGAAGAGGGTGAGCACTCATTTTAGAATAATGATATGTCTTGCATATTTTGTTGCTTTACAAGCGGCTCTGTATATAACAATGTTGGTCCAAACTGATATCTAAACAACCATTGGTTTTGGTCTCCAGTACATAACTACAGGTTTATAGAGTGGTGCAGGAATGAGTCCTGAAACCAGGAAATAAGTTAGCATTTGAGCACTTCAGGTTCTTCCCATGTTTCTTTTTGAATGTGTTTGTGATAAGATGCCTGAAATAAGGACTGTGGTTAACACAAGCAGAAGAGATTTTCACATTTTGTTGTTCGACATAAAATACATCAGTAAATACCCCACTCGTGAACGTGCACAGCTTCTTAGTGTTTTAAAACCACAGTTGCTAAATGAGACTGCTAAACGCCCTCATGCCAAACACAAATCTGTCGTTAGCTTAGCGGTGATGATGCGCAACCGGGAGTCGGTGATGCACTTCCTTTATAGCCTAACGTTAGCTTTTGATTTCTGGCTATTGCATTTATGCAAAACAAATCATAAAAGCGGTGTTTATATGTGGAGATTATCCTGCTGAACAAAATGTGTAAGTCTCATAAACATGTCAAACAGCAATATTTCAAAATCCAATGGGAACATCGTATTGCTATTTGTTGAGAGAGTCCTTGCAATGCTTACTTCTTGGTTGTTCTACAAAAATAAGTCATCACAGCACCATTTTATACTCAACCTCTTTACTGGGTTTCATCTGTGTGGCTCCTGCAGAGCGTACTGTTTGCACCTCCTCAATGACTGTTAGTGCTGAATTACATCTGCTAGGGAAGGGTATGTTTTCAATGCCTCTAGGTCACATTGTTTCCAAGTGTGCTCTGTAGTGTTCCGAGGTATCCCGCTACAGCGTCTCAATATTATTTTGATAACTACCCAGGTGTATTTATGGCATTCAGTAAACCTTAGATGACCTTACTTTACTTTGTGGCATTTTATTCACCTTTATTGAGTCTGTGATACTAGTACATTTATAGTGACCTCACTCTTTTGGGTTATTTTATCCATGTTATCAAATGAATGTGTTATCGCAATAAACCTAAAGATTTGTCGAATCACGTATTGTACTGAGTTTCACGTTTAAGTGGCCATTTTATTTCCTTATCTTAAGCTTCATATTGTTCTCTCTGTTGTGTTTATCGAATGAGCAGTCTCTTAACTTCTCTTAAAGTAGCCATGCTGTGATATTTATTTATTCAGTGTTCCTTTTTTATCTTTTGCAGCTTCAGAAAAAGAAGGATGATATTCTATCAATGTTTCAAGAGGTATGAAGATGTGCTTCTTTAACTTGAAAACTGAAGTTGGTGGATTGAACCATTATTTACTTGTGAATGCACTCGCAGCTAAACCTATGATCATCAAAGTCCTTAAAGGGTTTAGTTTAACATGTTGATTTAGCCTTGAGAGGATGAAAATAAGAAACAGGAACATGCAAAACCAAAATGTGTAATGGTCCGGCACTGTAGGCAATTGACACGTATTGATTGCCAGCAGTGATAATAACTATTCACCCATTCAGGTTTTATTTTTATTCAGGCGAAATAGCTGTAGAATTGAATGTAGTTTAATCAAATCTGACCTACCTACTGCAGTGCTGCGTAAACATAGTTACCCCGCAAGTTACAGCAGCCAGGTCTCCAAAAGATGACCTTCCCATTAGAGAAAACTGCATTATTAAGCACTTTTCAAGGGCACGTTAATTTGTCCCAGATTATGTTTGTTTGTTCATACATTTGTAATCGAAATCAGCCTAAATCAGCATAGGAAGGAGATGGTGGTGGATGGATGTGTAAAACAAACATGGGACTTTCCCCCAGGAAGCAGCTGTTCGTGTCTCATGTGAAACTAAAGCTCAATATTGACTTATGTATGTAACTTAACTAATGTGACATACTTAACTTAAGTCAAGTACTTCACTTACCTTACATATTTAAAGTTGGGGTAGGTAAGTTTGAGAAACCGGCTCGAGATACACTTTTTGTTATATTCCATGGAATGCTCTTAACATCCCGATAGCAATGAATATCTTAAGTGCTTTGACAAAAAATCCATAAAGAAATGTCATCTGTGGAAGCCGTAGTACTGTAAAGAGCACGACCAATCATTTTAGCCGGCCCGGCTAAAGTAACTGGATGGCCTTCCATCTGGGCACAAACTTATCTCGTGCCCTCATTGGTCATGTGCGCGCTCGTGTGTGTTGGAGGAGGGGCTCTGTGAGGAAGTGGCAGATTTCTTCCGGTTGCGTATTTTCAAATTCTAGCGCACTCGAGCTGGTTTCTCCAAAATTACCTACCCCCGCCTTTACATTTCGTCGAACAGTTAACTTTTGTCTTTTCCTTACTTATGACACATACTTCAGATATGTAACTAACATAACATATTTAACTTACATGGGACAATGGGACTGCTTATTTAAACTTGCATACATAAATAGGCTAACGTAGGCTACTTAACATATACGTTGCTCTGCTCATATCTTTTTGAACTGCTCACAACTGTGGAAAAATCACGAAACCCCTGAAACGTAATTGGAAATGTTGTTTCATCATATGGAAACTTAATTTAGAGAGTGAGTTGGTGACAGCTCACTTTGGATAATGCACACATATCTCATCCAAATCTCATTGGAAGCCCAGGTATTACCTCAGGCCAGAGATAAAACTGTCTATCTGTCTGTAGTAACTATAGATGTGTTTTGCGGCTCTTCAAAGGGCATTTGTCAGCACTGAGTTGACAGGTCAAAGGTCACTACACCAGGTTGTTATGCTCAGTGTTGGCAAAGCTTTATCTCGCCTTTCTCTTCACAGATTAGAGTGGCTGGCGAAAACACCTCAGTAAAACCCGAGGTTGTTGTTGTTGCAAAGGGAGTGGTTATTTATTTTATATACTTTATAACAAGTTAAACTATCAAAGCTCCGATAAGAAATTTAATTGGCTTTATTATTTTATTATGATCTCCATTCTCTTCTAGACGAAAACAAGAGACCATCCTGCATTGCAATTACACCAGCAACCAAACTGTGTTCTCAGTGACGTTCTGACAACACCCATTTAGGAATTGGCCTTCATTTCGATCTCAACAACAATGTAGAAAATATGTTTGATCCCAAATTAGGACAGGGGCTGAAAGAGGTGGGGTATTCTTTGGCCACCCTTGCTTAGACCGCGGCTGCTTCCAAATTCAACCTTAATTTTGATCTGGACTTCACATCTGTAGAGAGTCCTGACTACATGTTGGGACCAGAAAAGATCAGGAACTATTTTCTTTTCATCTCACTTTGTACATCATTTAATGTAATGGACCACCTGGTTGCAGGAAATACATCAAAACATGTAAATAGTTTCCATCCCAGGTGGTTAATATATGCGTGTATATTTTCTTTTTTTACGGAGTCCAAGGCAGTTTCTGTATGCGAGGCCTCAGGTCTTCCTGTTTGCTCACACGTGAGGCTGCCAGAATTAGGTCAGGGACAAAAGACTGCTGCTCTTATTCAAATGGTGAAACACCAAAATAAAGAAATGAACAAATCCAAAATAATGATAACCTGTAAGAGGCTAGTGATTTTGAACAATACATCCAAACTGCTTTTTCATATTGCACTGCACACACACACACATGCATACGCAAAAAACAATCTTGCATAATTTCTACTTGCATACACTTTTATTTTCCCTCAAAGAAAACAAATCAAGCAGTTAATGAATCAAATTTTTAAAAGCGGTTTCCAGCTCAATCTGGGCTTTCCTATAAATCTGGCGTGAGACTCTGAAGTGCAGGGTAAAGACAAGAAGAGGGTGAGCAGCTCAGAGGAATAAGGACAGGTCTGGAGCTTCAATTTCTGTGAATGTTTTACTGCGTTTTGAGAACAGAATGGTCTCTTTGTCATCGCACATCATGTCCAGAAACTAGGTGTGATAGTGGAGGACATGCAACTGCTATACGCTTTTGTGTAAGTGGTTGTAAATTGTGTTTTAGCGAGTTGTATTTAGATGGATCCACCAATTTAGCAAATAACCTATATCTACGGGTATCTGATCACATTTTAACGCTTCCGTTGGTCTTAACTTGTTTTTCGCAGCGCAACAAGCTTTTTTTTGGGAGTCCTACCTTTTCACACAATCCATACACAACACCAAATATTGGACATGGTCACGTGATGGAGGACTCTTCTTTTCAGTCCCACTAATGGATCCCATGTTTTTATATCTGGCTAATGTGTTCCAGGGTCAGATCTGCCAGGCCAAGCTGGATAAATGGTCCACTGAGATGTACCAGGAGCCTGAGGCAGCGCCGGTGGAGGTCCACATGTTTGACCTGGACTGCCTTCTGTCGGACATCTCAGACACACTATTCACCATGACGCAGAAACCCTGTCCCTGGGCCAGTGAGCGGCACGACCGTGAGTAGTCAGCACACTGAGGTTTAATATTATTAGTGTTTAATATGTGTTTTCTGAGCTGCCATGAGTAGGTTAAAACTTCTTAATTTTCATTCATCATTTAGATAAAATAATTGCAAAATAGCTCCTGAGTCCGAGCTGCGGTGGAAGAAGTACTTAAATATTTTATTTAAGTACAAGTATTGACCCCACAATGTAGAAATACTTGGTTACAAGTAAAAGTCCTGCATTTATATTTTTAGGTAAAGGTATAAAAGTATACCTGAATTTCCAAAACGACATGTACTCATTACGCAGAAATGCGATTTTCAGTGTTATATATTCCACTTATTGAAGCAGACACACAAACAGGTGCACTAACTCACCTTCCTAATGTGTGATATAATGTCGTCTTCCTCTGCAGCGTACATGAGCAACGCTGACATCATCCAGCCAGGCCTGACTCCACTGCAGCCTAACCTGGATGATTTCATGGATATACCAGGTACCTGTCTGTCTGCCTGCTGACCTATTTATCTATACACACACACACACACACACACACACACACACACACACACACACACACACACACACACACACACACACACACACACACACACACACACACACACACACACACACACACACACACACACACACACACACACACACACGCACGCACGCACACACATAAAATCCAAACAGATATATATGTATCTTTATTTTTCATTTATAAATACAAACAGAAATAAATACACTTAATTATTCAAACAAATAGGAAAGTAAATACATTTTGGAATGATGACAATGGTTAATAAATAAAGGAGCAGCTGAAAATGAAATTATACATGTATGTTATATTTGATCAGTAAATTAATGCTTATGTTTATTTTAAACCTTATTTTGTGATATTTTGATTGATTTGGTCATTTATTTATTTTTGCTTTTGGCAGCTTTTAACCTATGTATTCATGAACCTCCAAACTAAATTGCGACCCACTACTTCAAAAGGGCTACAGGAAGTCAGAAACTCAGAGCGAACATTTGAAACAAATATGAATATGTTTGGTGAGGAGTTTAGTTCCTTGCTCAGGGGCACAGTGGCTGTTTTGCCTTTGTGTTACTTTCAGTGAAGCAATCCAGCAGCCTTGTGGCTACAAGCCAGCCTTTGTAACCCACAGACAACATGCTGCCCTCTGCTGTAATGTGTGTGTGTGTGTGTGTGTGTGTGTGTGTGTGTGTGTGTGTGTGTGTGTGTGTGTGTGTGTGTGTGTGTGTGTGTGTGTGTGTGTGTGTGTGTATGTGTGTGTGGCTGTGGCTGTGTGTGGCTGTTTGTTCTCACAGTGCTGGCAGGGTCCTGAGGGATCAGCTGTCCGTCTCTGTTTTGGTCACAAGATCCAGGGAGCTAGTGAGTGTCCGTCACAGCGACACAGCCACAAGTTTAATTTATGCAGAGTGCGTCTCTGAAATGGAAATACAGATCACTTGCCACGTAGTTCCTCTTTACTGAGATGAAAACAGACCAACTGGTATGTATTTTCAGATTGCGCCACACATTTTTGTCTACAGAGCTCGCATCATGCTGGATCAAAGGCTGATATTTATGAATTATGGCTCCATAGGATCTAAATCAAGGGTTGATTGATTAAAGTTAACATTGCCAGCTGGTCAAAACCTGGTTTGATTTCTGTGCCGTCAGATGTGCAGACACAGTTTATAGCACAGATGGCAGCTTGGCAGGGACAGTTTCCAGAAGTATGTGACCTGGCAGATACTCAGTAAATTACTTAAATGACCGCCGCACGCAGAGCACTGGTCACTTGTTGATAGATGTTTTGTCCCTGTGTTTTTATTTCCTGTTTTCTTTGTTTGAATGTCTGAAATGTTCAATTATATTCCACCTTATTGGCCAAAATGGAAAGAGTTGGGATTATTGTGTTGGCATACCTGGATTCCTCATTTGCCTATAATCATAAAGACTTACAGAAGCCCTGAGAGGCATCAAAAACAAGAAAATTAAATGTGCCGATCTATTTTCTAAGTCTAATTTAAATGGTTTTATCTCCTGTCGTTCTTACTAGGAAAACATTTATAAGTACATTTTTATTTTTATGAAAACAAGTGGCAGGTGACATTTGTTGTTTGTTTGTTGTTGTAATAGTCATTTCACCTAAGAGAAGCTGATATTTTACACGATATTCTAAATTGGACTAGAAGCTACCATGATTTATTCGAAGTAGGATTTCATTTCTCTATTCAATCTTAACAGAAGGATCATATTTTATCTGTAAACAATTAACGTCACAAATTCTGTCATATCTTTATTTGTCTGTAATGTATATGAATCGACAACAGTAACACAAATTATGCTTTTTCCCCTGGTACACAAATGGATAATGGAATAATTCCCTGCGTTTGTTTTTTTCATACTTTAAAGTCTGCCTAACAGTGTGTGTTTTTATTTTGTAGATATCTTTATGAACTTCCGGGGCCAGCCCTCTGAGCTGACTAGTTTTGCTGACTGTGGCTATTTTGAGAGTTCACCCAGCACAGCGTTTGCCCCCCTCTCCTCCCCCGTGGGGACAACTCCACAGCACCTCATCGACAGCCAGCTGGCTCAGGTACTGCTGCTCACAGCTCCTCCTGCTTGTTACATGTAATGCTGCAGAAAAAAAATCATATTTGCTAATGCTAGTAATAGTAAATCAGAAATCGTTATTTATACTGAGGAAGTTGACAAAGTGACAAATGCTTGATTTTTTTATGTAATTAATTAAAAGATAAATACTTTAAAAAAAGAATGAAATTATTTATATTAAAAAGAAATGAATGTAAGCGTAAAGTTAATTAGGATTTAGCATAATGAGTAGGGGTGCAATATTATGTAGTGACAACTGTTTTTCCTTAAACTGTTTGCTTTCCTTAAAATGTCTTTCTGTAAAAATAAAATAACTTAAAGTAAGAATGTGCAATAAAAGAAAGGAAACATAGGAAATAATGTACAACAAGAAGTTAAAGAAAGAATTTGCACATTTGACTCAAATGTGTTTATTATAATACATACAGTGGTGTTTAATGTTAATTAGATGAATTGCACACTGTTAACGGGTTTGACTGCTGTTAATTTAGTCCTAGTTCCAGTTTATTGACCCACAGTGCTGATGCATCAACGAGGAGTTAAATTGATGGCCACAGGCAGAAATGACTTCCTGTGACGCTCTGTGGTGCATCTTGGTGGAATTGTTATTGATCGGTGAGTAAAATAGATTAAATCTTTATTTTTCTAGCCCAATCTGTCATCTGACAATTTGCCTCAGCCCTCCTCATCCAATACCCAGTCAGACCAGGCCAGGCGGAGCCAGGACTGCAGTGAATACCACACGTCTAGCATGATTTCAGACAGCATGCCCTATGGACACCAGTCATACCCTGATCCAGCTGTTTCTATAGCCTTCAGCAGCAGCATTGAGCAGCCGCCCTCTTCCACTATCCCCTTTCTGTATCCGCTGCCCTGCCACAAGTTCGGTTACTACACGACGACCAGCGTGACCCCTACTGTCATCACTCACACCGCCTCCACAGCGGGGGCCCAGGGCTCCGTGCACCAGGGTCACGGCTACCCTCACACAGAGGACACTTACCCCCAGAGTCCCTGCCACTCTCTCAGTTACCAGGCGACGCTGCCCTCTGTCACAGCGGCACACTGCTTCTCAGTCCCGGAGCAGCTGGCTGTCTCAGGGGTCACAGGGAAGCACAAGCAGAAGACAGGGGGTGGGAGGACGGGAGGCCACACTGCAGCCCCGTCCACTGCACCCCCACCCACTAGCTGCCTGGCTAAGCTGCTCTCTTCAAAGTCCCGTGAAAGTGAGTCACTTCTCACTGTCTCTAACAACAGTTATTTATCTAAAACATGTAGGGGGATGATGTTTCTGTCACAAAAAAATAACTATATGTTTTTGTGCTTTCAGGGAAGCCATCACTAGGATTCGATGCTACTCTACAACCAAAAGGTCAGAGGCCATCATCTCCAAGCCCCTCGGTGAGCTGTCCTTTTGTATCACAAGAGCAGTGTTCATTTGTCTTGATAACTGGCTTGTACAAAAATTGAAATTGAAAGATACATTTAAGGGGGTATTTTATGCCAAACTGTTATTTGGCCTCTATCTGTTTTGGTATTAAACAAACATCATAGCCGCATAGGTGATTTTGTTGCCATCGGACAGAGCTATGCTAGCTGTTTCCCTTTTTTGTGCTAGGCTAAGCTTACCTGCACTATGATTCACCATATCATTGTACCCTGTAACTACTTAACATGTTGACTGAGCTCTCTTCACCTTTTCCCTCTACCTACTTTTCTACCATGTGTTTTTGCCCATATTAATTATTTAGTGGGAATGCTGACACAGCATTCCCACTATCTGTTATGCTACGCACGAAATTCTTTATTATTCCGCCGGGTTATTTTGCGCCTCTTCTTCTCCCACATTGAATACACACAAAGTACACTTCAGATGCTCAAGTTCCTTGACATGTTTCACGCTTTGAAATTTCACCGATATCTGTTACGGTTCTTCAACAAAACGTTCACATGTAACGGCCTGTCCGCACAGCGGCGTGCGTTGAAGCTTGCCGGCGGGCGTGTCTGAAAGTCGACCAACAACCAATCACATGAATCTCCCGCCCCTGACACACAAGCAGCAGTTTGATTGGCTAGAGCTTGTACTGGCATATGATTTGATTGGCTGACGCTTCTGCCGAGGCTTCAAAAGTTGAACATTGCTCTACTTTTGCAGCGAGCCACGCCAGCAAAGCTCCGCGTCGCTTCCCACAATGCAGTTCGGCGAAAAGTGACGTCACCCCATTCAAAGTGAATGGTGAAGCTTTCAACGCACGCCGCTGTGTGGACGGGCCGTAACGGCCTCTACACACGGCAGCGTGCGTTGCCGCTTCAACGCTTCTGCCCATTCACTTTGAATGGGGTGACGTCACGATTCGCCGAACTGCATTGTGGGAGCAAAGCGTAGCTTCTCTCGCGGTGCTCGCTGCAAAAGTAGAGCAATGTTCTACTTTTGACGCTTCGTCGGAGGCGTCAGCCAATCGAATCATATGCCAGTATAAGCTCTAGCCAATCAAACCGCGTGCTTGGGTGTCTGGGGCGGGAGATTCATGTGATTGGTTGTTGGTCGAGTTTCAGACCCCCCCGCCGGCAAGCGACAACGCACGCCGCCGTGTGTATGGGCCGTTAGAGGTTTATCTCTCATTCAGACCAATGAAAATGCTCTCCTCTCACTGATTACTGCACATCACCATGGAAGCCTTTGATCTCTGTTATGTCATCATATGCCGCTTCCATGGAAACGCATACCTCGCCATAAAACAAGATGTCGCTGTAACTCCAATGGACACGGTCCGATCGTCCCTAAACTTAGCTTGTATATCACTGGTCCATGCCTCAACAGCTCTACGCCAAATCTGAGATCTCACCATAGGCTGTTGCCATGGAAACGCATCCCTCGCCATAAAACACAATGTCGCTGTAACTCCAATGGACACGGTCCGATCGTCCCTAAACTTAGCTTGTATATCACTGGTCCATGCCTCAACAGCTCTACGCCAAATCTGAGATCTCACCATAGGCTGTTGCCATGGAAACGCATCCCTCGCCATAAAACACAATGTCGCTGTAACTCCAATGGACACGGTCCTGTCGTCCCACAATCTTCTCCTGTATATCACCTCTCCATGCCTCAACAGCTCTATGTCAAATCTGACATCTCACCATATGCCGTTTCCATGGAAATGCATCCCTCGCCATAAAACACGATGTTGTCGCAACGCCTATGAAAAGGGTCAAAACAGCACCAGACTTTACATAATGGTTAATGGTCCAGCTTTCAACATGTCTATGTGCCACTAGTGAGTTTTCCTCAAAAGCTGTTGCCATGGCAACGCTTCCCTCGCCGTAAAACACGATATTGCTATAATTCCTACGAAAATTGTCAAAAAGTGCTCAAACTTCACGTGTGCTAATATTCCAGCCGTGAAGACATCTATTTGACAGTTTTAAGATTTCTTCAAATGCCGTTGCCTTGGCATGTGTTGCCAAGGCAACGACATTTGAAGAATGCTCACTATGAAACACGGTTTTCTCACAACTTCAATTAAAATGCTCGAAATGGCCCAAAACTTCACAGGTTTGGTAACGATGCAGCCATCAACACATCTAAGCGTATTATGGGGTGTCATCAAATTCCGTTGCCATGAAGCCAGATCATTCGCCATCAAGTTAGTTCAAACGTTTGCAGTTCAAATATTCTGCTGCTTTTCCAAGCCTTTTTACTTTCTTCTCTTATCACACATTCAAGCCCCCAGTGTTCATGTATCATTTCAATCTAAATTCTTCACTTTCTTCTTACACATTACATTTCAGCATAGCAGTTTAGCGTCAGCTTTTCAGCATAAAGCATTCCCACTAGCAATTTCTTCAAGAATTGCATTCTCTAGTTTTGTAATAGTGCTCTGTATAATCAACTGTATTTGTATTATTATTAGCTGTCCAGCAGCATCACACACGGAGGGGCTTGGCCTGCAGGGATCCAGATGTTGACCCCTCTGCACAGCCAGAGTTCCCCCCTGGGTCACAGCGGACCCCACGCCCGCTCCTCCAGAGGCTCCGCGGTGTCGGCCCTGCTCAGCTACGGCTCCACGCCCACCGGCAAGGCCCTCCTGGTCCCCAAGACTGAGGAACTTTCTCCTGTCCAGCTCTACAGCACGGACAGGAGCAGCCTCACAGGTATACTGCTCAATGCTCTAAATTAACATTTCAGTGTAACAACATCTCGCTTTTTCCAGATGCAATCAGAGATCATGTCTTCTTCTGACTGGTGAATGAGAACATGGTTGTTAAGTTATATGTCTTTGCGCCTTTTAAATGCTGACAACACATGGATGATTTTTGGATTCTTCTTTGATGTTCTCATCAAATGAAGGTGAAAAAACGAGATAAGAGGAAGCTTGTTTTTTAAGTTTGAATGAAGCCATGTATACTGTATAATTAAAAGAAAAACAATTCAAAATAATATTACAAATAAATGTAGGCATTAATAAATACATTTTGACAAAATAATTGCTGTTTTAATTTGCACATTTATTTACTTACCTTTCTATTAATTTCCCTATTTATTAATTTACTTACATTTCTATTAATTCCTCATATTCCCCTTAATTTTATGATTTAAAAAAAAAAAAAAAACCTTTTCGCATTTACCAACCTAGTTATTCAATTTGAATGATTTAGTCAAAAGACAATTCAAGCAGAAATACAACATTTCTGTTTCATAATTCCAGATATAATGACTATATTTAAGTTGAATATTATTATCGTACAATAAATGGCCTATTTATTTATGTATGGAGTAATTTTTGTAATACAGGTCGTGTAATTATTATGATATCTGTTTTTGTTTTAGTTAATTTCCCAGGACATCCAGGCCAAACGTCACCACCGAACCCTTTAGATAAAGGTTCCAACCCTGAGTCCCCTCACACATGCTTCTCAGGACACGGAAAGTTAGAATTAAGTAAGGTAGGACACAGCGTCTAATTTGAGTTTTTATTATATAATCAAGTCTTTGCTAAATAAGGATATGAAAATGGGTGTGAAGTGTGATGAATAATTCTTCACTGCATATGTTATCTGCAGCAAACAGAGACCAGGAGGATAACTCACATCTCCGCTGAGCAGAAGAGACGCTTCAACATCAAACTTGGATTCGACACATTACATAACCTTGTGACAACACTCAGCTCTCAGCCAAGCATAAAGGTACCGTTAAAGATATTAAAGAGAGATGTTCAGGAAGGAGGAATAGACCAGTTGCTGCTCTGTTTAACTGAAAATGAGATGTAAATACAGCTTAGGAACTTACCACAGTAATTTTAAATATGTGTGTATTGTTGAGGTGTATTGGTGACATGTGGTTATCCTCTGTCTGCTGGCACAGATCAGCAAAGCCACCACACTGCATAAGACGGCAGAGTATATCAGTAAGATGCAGCAGGAGAGAGCTCAGCTGCACGACGAGGCTCAGAGACTCCGAGACGAGATCCAGCTCCTCAACTCTGCCATCAAGTGAGACCTTAAACACACTCCACCGTATGTCTGTGTGCGTCTTACTCCATGCATATTCACATGAGTTGGATGGATATTTTGGTTAATATTGGGGCAAAAGTGGCTCAGGGGGAAAATGGGGCTCTTCCAATGGGATTGTTAATGGTTCGATACCATCCCTGGCAGATGTTAAAGTATCCTGTGGCAAGATACTCAACCCCAAATTGCTCCAGAAGCTATGTCTAAGGCACTGAAGTGTATATACGTAGATAACAGGCTTAATGACATGTAATGTGATGTAATCATTTAATTTAAAGGACAGGTTCACATATTTTAGAATGTGGATTTTGTCGTCACACCACTTACATAGGAAGCACATTAGGAGGGGAACTCCTAATGGCAGAATTTACACTAGACAAACAACAAATAAATGGTTTTAATGTACATATGGGGACCTGATTTCTCCCTTTCGCAACACTTTAAAACTATACAAAATGTATATGTCAAAAATCTGCCATAAAATAATATATTAATATTATTTTCCACTTTCATTGAGGTGAATCTTTCAACCAACATAAATCCTTATCATCACTGGCAAATATTAATTATTTCTCTGAATGATAATCCTAATAATGGCATTCTGTGCCACCATTGTTTTACAAACTTTACAAAACATTTCTGTGAGCTAAATGCTTGGCATAATTGTGTAGTGTTTAAAAAGCTCCTATTCGTCTTCTTAGAGGAAAACAATTTCCACTTTAGAAAATTGCTATAGAAATATTTTCAAGTATTAAAGGAGTTGAGGTTGAACTTCCAACATAAAAAAAACCTCTTCAATTCCTATTTAAAAATCCAAAAATGTCCTTGTGATGCACAAGGGTTTAGACAGATGTGGAAAATGGTGAACCTATCCCTAAACACCACATGGTGGTCTTTTCCTGTTGATATGACGATGCACTGCTCTGCTGACTCAGCTCCTCTCCTCCTGCAGTGTGTGCCAGCAGCAGCTGCCGGCCACCGGTGTGCCCATCACACGGCAGCGCTTCGACCACATGAGGCAGAAGTTCCGGGAGTACGTCCGGACACAAACGCTTCAAAACTGGAAGTTCTGGATCGTATCCTTATGAATGTAAATCTGCCAGATGTTAATTAAAAAACATCACGCTGCCACAAACACAACTTAAAAACGTCTTTAGCTTCATAGATGAAAATGTAAAATAAAGTGAAAATTATTATAAAATATGATAGAACGTGAGATACAAATAAAATAGATAAGACTAAACGAGATAAAATACAACAAAAAGACAGTAAAAATGTAAAAAAACACTTTACTGCATTATACAACATGTATATTACAATACATACTATGGTGTATTCATATTAATAAGATGTTGAATATGTGTCTATCACAGTAAGTTACTGCACCATGCATCAACTTCTTCAAATGGAATTTTGTTTCCCCCTAATGTCGCCTTTTGAATCCACAATGTGGTAGTAACTATATTTGGGAGGACATTTTCTAGCAGGGAAATGTAGCTATCATTTATCCTGCAGTGTATATAAATTACTTTACGCTCCTAATTCATGGGACAGTCTCAGTGTAATCAGGCAGATCAAATAAATGCCTCTGTGTTGCAAATGCCAGTAGCATATCATATGAATCCATAACTCTTCCCTTAATGATCACCCAACCCCTCACTGCTGCCGTTATCTTGCAGGCAAAATAGGAATATTAGATTATCATCTTTGTGTGTTGCACAAAAACACCTGCAGGGTGTTTTCTCTCCATGAAAATATATAGATTACATTTTGGTACTGTGAATAGTGCTTTTATCTAACTGCTGAAATATCCAAAAGGGTCTTTTCTTTTTAATATACACTCAAGAAAGCCGCTTGTAATGTTTGTTTGACTGCTCACTTTGTTGCCTCTATAGACATAGCTATTCAACAATGAGAATTGACTTTTTTATCGACCATTAGTTTTCCTTCCAGAACAATGGAGCACTCACTTGCTTATGTTATCTGGAAAATACCGTCGAAGAACAAGCTGGATGATTAAATATAGACTCTTATGTTGAACAAATCCAATAAAAAGCTGCAACCAACAATAAATAGATCCCAATAACATGACTTGTCTGTGGCCAAAGTGTGATATCAGAAATTCTTGAGCAGCATTGCACTGGATGATGTTTTTTTTTAGTTCATCACATACACTTTCCTCGTACTGTGAATACTATCTTTCCCAACTAATATAATGTAAATCAATTTGCAGCTGAAGAAAGTCTCCAATTTATTTCACTCCTGTTTGAGTGACAATTGATTTAAAAACAGCTACTGTTATAGGAAATGACTGAACAATTTAAAAGAAAATACATATTTATTACCTGTTTTTTCCAAAGTTTCGTCTGCATTAGGAACCAAAGGGCTTGGGATGAGGATAGGGAGGTCAAAAAGACAACTAGAAAGAATTACACCAGCCTTTCAACACTATAAAGTAACTTGCTATGGACATCGATTAAATAACTTTGCCCCCAAAAAGTTAAAATGAGCCTATCATCTATGAGAAGAAACATACTTCCTTCTGCACGTTTATATGGTAGAAATAACATTGTTCCTACTCACAACAAGGTCTCTGGATTATCCTGAATAATGGAATAATGATATCTGGAGATTTGGATGATTTGAGCACCAAAAGCCAAATGCAATCTAGTTCCCTTTCATTTCAGAGAACGCAAACATTTCTGCAGAGGAAACATATATATTATAGTTTTGTTGGTAAACTGACCCTTTAATATCAAATCAGTAACATTAGGTGCTTGAGCCTATTGAAGAATATTCATGAACTTCTACATTTTATCGTCTTATTTCCTCAACTCAGCGTCAGTTCAGTATAATCATTGAGCCGCTGTTCGAGTCCTATAATGGGATGGTGTCCACAGCCAGTGTGGAGGACCTGTGCCGCTCCACTCTGTCCTGGCTGGACCAGCACTGTTCCCTGCCTGCTTTAAGACCCAGTGAGTGCACAACTACTGCTTCTTCCATGCACACAGAATACATCCAACATTTGATTCTATCACTGCATATGTAACTTCCCATCTTGTACTCTATGTTCTTGTTTTTCCTGCATGTCCCCTCAGTGGTTCTGAGCTCTCTCCGTCTCCTGAGTACCACCACGGCCATACTGTCAGACCCCAGCCTGCTGCCGGAGCAGGCCACCCTCGCTGTGACCCAGGGCGACCACTCTGCGCTCCTGGATACTCGGGACAATGTACACCCCATGTGACCCTGGAGAACAGACTCAGTGGAAACATAGCAGTCCACTACCATGCCGGACTACCGGAGTGTGCTAGTCAGAGGAGTGATTTAAAAAAAGACTCGAGACTGTTAGTAATGCATAATCACATTCCAGAAAACTCACCAGCTGCAAAAATAATGTATTCAGTACACCAAAAAAAGTCATCGGAAATTGTTGTGATCCATGCTTACGTTCTGATAAAGTACTTTAGATTAGAAGGGGATGTCAGTCACTTTGAATAGTTTTATTTTCATTTCTGTTGACAACTACTGTTGTAATTTCGGAGTGTAATCCTTGCCTTTAATAACCAACACATACAATATGTCATATTACACTTCACACTTGTTGTATTTGCCATTACACACCAGTGCCAGTCTAAGATAAACATAAGAGAAAATGACTACCTTAAGTAGACAGGGTTTTCTTTCGAATACACATGCACATACATACACATGCATTGCTCTGAGATTACATGTTTATTCCACACTCGTAATCACAGCAAGCATGGTATCGTGACTCTCGCCGGCTCATGCCCCCCTCTTCTGCAGGGGGGCGTGGTCAGCTGCTGCTCAGAATTTTCAAAGACAGGCTTGGAATAGAGCGAAAATGAGCGAAACGAGGCATGGCTAAAAAATGATCTGTTTGGTATTTTGAAAAATAAAATGTATAAATATACCTTATATAGGTATGGTCATACACTATATCATTTAAATATAGCATGATAGGTCTCCTTTAAGTTTAATGTTTATTTTTATACTAGTCATACATTTTTTTTTAGAATCAGGTAAAAAAAAATCACTTAACCCTGAGTTAGCCTAAGCAACTAAAATAATATAATTTTAAAATAATTTTAAAAAATGTTCAATGATTTGCCAACCACCAATGTTCAAAATGATTTTGGTAGCACTACACTGTATGGCAGGTGTTATTTAACATGTCACTCAACACAGGCTTGAGTTTCAAAATCAGGTTACATGCATTTATTATCCTTACAAGAATGAAACTTGTACCATATGCTGTATGTGATGACTACTTCCGTACCATTCTTTCAAGGATAATAAATGCGTGTATCCTCATTTTGAAACTCAAGCCGGTGTTGAATGAGATTTTTCTAACAACAGGGAAGTTATTGAGTATTTCTTGTAGTAATTTTTTCTGGCGTTGCACTTTGTAGACGGTCCCTGCGTCTCTCCTCAGGCTAAACTGTATATAGATAGTGATGTAACTGTCAAGCTCAGAGGACGGCTGTTTTGTCTTGTTTGAAAGAAAATTAGGTTAAAGCTTGTTGTTTACCTAAGTACCAGGGGCGGAAGAAGTGTTCAGATCTTGTACTTGAGGAAAAGTAGAAGTACCAAAGTGTAGACATACTCTGTTACAAGTAAAAGTCCTGAAATCAAAAATGTTAATCTAGTAAAAGTACAAAAGTATTGGCATCAAAATATACTTTTTTTTTTATACCAAAAGTAAAAGTACTCATTATGCAGATTGGTCCATTTCAGAATACTATATATAATATGTTTTGATTATAATTATTGATGCATTTAAGTGTTATCACAGCTGGTAAAGGTGGAGCTAGTTTTAATAACTTTGTATACTGCAGGGTAGCTTGTGAATTTACTTCAGGTAACTATGGAATACAATTACACCATTTAATAGTCGCATTGGATAGCTCAAGTCACACAACACATTGTAATTAATTGTTGTATCTGGTTGCTGGAGTTGCTGCTTGAGGGTTGAGACACACAAGGCGCAGTGGATACGCTGATTGACAGCTGAAACACACAGCCTGAAATAGAAAACATGACATTAACAAAACGTAAAGTTTAAAAACCAAATAACCTCAGTGTTCAGAACCCTCTCTTCAGACCTGCCATCTTCGAAACATCCTCAGACTCTCTGGCCCGATCCCAAACCACGCCCTACACCCTACCCCTCCGTTTGCACGTTCTCGCGGAGGATCTGCCACATTAAATGCTGTTCTAAACCAACGAGTGTGGAGGGGGAGTGGGTTATCAAGCCCTCAAACAGCGAGTCTGCATCGGTGCTGACTTGAGACCATGGATGTATAATAAGAACTGAGACCGGTCACTACAGCCCAATCCCAAACCACGCCCTACATCCTACCCCTACTATCAGGGACGTGCACAGACTTTTGGAGGGGCTATTGCTCTAAACTGGAAAAAGGGCCTCCCCCCGAAAAAAAGAAATATAAGACCAAAACGATTATTACATTATCTAATTTGAACAGTAATTCACATCATCATCTCATAACAAAATAAGCTAAGGCAACTACTTGCATTCGGTGACTTGATTTTTAAAATGAAAACCAGGGCAATTTTTTGTTTTGCGGTCCATATCTCCTTCATATATCTAATGTTAGTAACTATTAAAGAAAAAATGGGGACAATTCAATGTAGTTTGACCATTGTAACTGCTGTGCAGACAAAATAAAATAGGGCTTCTATAATTACCTTAAATAATCTCACTAATTAATTAAACCAGTTCAATACACATTATTCTTATTCTTATCATTCTTTATGAGCACAGTAACGGTCAGGTATCTAATTACTTATTTATTTATATTCCATAACTTAATAACAGAGATGGTCAAATTAAAGTAGAGACATGGCAGAAATCCTACAATAAAGCGGGACAGTGAAGTCAATCAATCAATCAATGTTTATTTATATAGCCCAATATCACAAATGTTACATTTGTCTCAGTGGACTTCACAGTTTGTACAAAATATCAGTATGACAATACGACACCCTCTGTCCTTAGACCCTCACATCGTACAAGTAGTGTGTGAAGTGTTCTCCGTGAGAGGGCGATCAAGAAAAGAGAGCGAGTGGCCCCGTCGAGGGAGTTTACCATGGATGTTTAATAGGAGTTTACGGAGCAGATGAAAAGACACAGAAAGACAGAAGCACAATAACAAGTATATGTAGGTGTTTTTTTGTAAATAACCGATGGTGTCAAGAGGAAGTAAAGTCCCTGCCATGAGAAAACTCAAAATTAATTTTCCAAAATCCGACACTAGAGGTGGTCTTAACGCACCGGCACCAATACAGTGGCCTATAATAAATATTATATATATATAATACGTAACATGTGTAATCACACACTTAGAGATATAGAACATAAATAATAAAAACGTAGGCCTACCTGGTATAAAACACTTTTGTGGTCATACTGTGGAATGAGTTCACACCAGGGCCGGCCCTAGACTTATGGGGGACCTAAGCGAGCTTTGGCTTGGGCCAATATGTTACTTTGTTACATTTGTTTGTTATCATCAAAAATGTGTTCCGTGAAAGTAAAGCAAGTTCATAATTAGATAGACATCGTGAGGTATTTATTTTCGGTACAGTTTATGTTGAAACCGTTAGAGAGAGTGGCACACTTGTTAGCCTGTTCCATTCTTCTTTGTTTTCCGAAGCCGTGGCTTGGAAGCATACTTGCTTTGTTTCTGAAGGAAGTGACTTGGAAGTACGCGACTACCAAGCCAGCATCCTCGCGATTGAGAAACACCCCGAGTCTGCATCGGTGCTGACTTGAGACCGGTCTCTACCTGACCGCCGGTCTTAACGCTGTGTGTGTCCGTCAGGAAACAAGCTGTTAACAAGTAGTTCCAGCGAACATCCACTGATAAACTGCGATGTTAACAACCTCATGATAGCCTCATATGTTTTAACTTAGGATCATACCTGTGGTTAGTCTAGAAAAAGGTAAATGTGTGCATTTTATTATAAAGTAGTGTATATTTACAGACTGTTGCAAAAACTAAGAAGCTTATAAACATCAGGTTTAAAACTAAAAGAGCTTTGAAACACAATGAAAGATGTTTGGAGTTTTATTTGAGTTATTAATTTACATTTTTTTTGTCTAAGAGATGCTGATTTGAAACCATTGTTACATACAGTTACGGCATTTCCTGTTTCTGCCGGAGAGAACCACATACACATGCACAGACCAATTTCCCCAAATCTGTGGCGGAAAATGTAAGGCGGGGCCTATCATATGACGCACACCTGCACACTTGCTAGCCTGTTCCACTCTTCGTTTTCCGAATGCCAGGAAGGATTCTTGCCTCGCTTCTGAAGCAAGTGACTCGGAAGACATGTTCCAAGCAATATTTTCAAGTACTATTTAAAGTACGTCATCGAGTGGCGCCGAATGCTGGGCATTTAACATGCATTTAAACAGTCCTTCGGCGCCACTCGATGACGTAGTATACTTTAAATAGTGGCTAATTACTCGACATTGAGAAACGGCCACTGGGTGGTCCCATGGGTCGGAAGTAGATGTCGAGGAAGGCTGCTCCAGAGCCACTATTTCAAGCATACTACGTCATCGAGTGCCGCCGAAGGCCTGTTCCAATGTCCAGCATACTTGGAATTCTATCGAGGCCGGCGTACTTCGTAGCGAGAAATTTCGAGGTTGCACATGTGTAGACTCCGTGGTCTTAAAATCCCCACAATGCTTTGCGCACGGACCAATTTCCAATCTTTGGCAGAAATCGCGCTCCATTTAAGGCAGGGCCTCGCATATGACGCACACCTGTTATATACACAACTTTATAATAAAATGCACACATTTACCTTTTTCTAGACTAAACACAGGATCCTAAGTAAAAAACATATGAGGTCATCATGAGGTTGTTAACATTATTATATTTCATTACGTGTTGATAGAAATCAACACGTAATGAAATAAGACCCTACGGTTTGATGATTGATAGGTGTGTGGGCTGTCTTTCATTTTAACACACAGAACAATGGGGGCTATCCACCCTTATCCACAATGTAAAGTAGTTCACACAGCCTCTTCTCTCTGTGAGGAGCAGCAGGTTCAGCTTTCAGAACAAAGTAACAAAACACAAAAATGGCATTTATTTTTTTAAACATGTCGTGTAGTAATAGATTTATTTATTTTCTTCTCAAGAGAGTACCAGAATGTGTATTTTATATGTTAGTATTTCAAAAAATCTTCTGGTGGAGAATCCCCCCAGACCAGAAAATTGCAGGATTGGCTCCAGGACTGCGGTCAAGCCAGCCTCCACTTCGGAATACACAGGGGGTGTTTCTCAATCTCGAGTAAAGCTGCTCCAGAGCCACTATTTCTCGGTAGAATTCCATGTATGCTGGACAGTGGAACAGTACTTCGGCGGCACTCGATGACGTAGTATGCTTGAAATAGTGGCTCTGGAGCAGCTTTACTCACGATTGAGAAACACCCAGAGTAAAACCAGCACTGCAAAGACTAATATCACTCCAGGGTGATAGCAGGACACCCCATATAGTCACTCAGAAAATATCAGGACAATCTGATGTATAGGGGATGATAACTCATATATGAGACTTCAAAGGTATTCTATTTTGAAACTGTACATCAGATTGTCCGGATATTTTCTGAGTGACTAGATGGGGTGCCTTGCTATCACACTGAAGTGAAATAAGTCTGATACTGGAGAGTTTTTGTTTTATTCTTATCTAAAAACAGCGGGACGATAGCTTATATGAGACTTCAAAGGTCTTTTATTTTGAAACTCTACATCAGATTATCCTGATATTCTCTAAATCAGTGGTTCCCAAACTTTTTTCCCAAGAGCCCCCCCAAACGACTCCTGTTGTAATTTGCGCCCCCCCCCCCTCCCCCACACAAGGGGGGGGGGGGGGCGCAACAGCGGTAATTCAAGTTTCAAAATCTCAAAATGCTACAACTACTGTCAAGTATTTTGTTAAGGATGAATTCATTTGGATTCCCGCTGTATGAAGAAATGAAAGGACGGCACAAGTGGAAACAATTCACAAAGGGATTAAACTGTTTAAAACACATGTGTTTATGTGGATTCAAAAATCGTAAATAATCTACAAAATGGAGGAACAACTGTGACAAATAATCCAACTGAAACCGGCATGGACAATGATTATGTTTTAAAAATGCGCTTATCCAGAAAAGCCTGGTTTGGACACTTTACGGGCAGAAGAAACATTTCTGTTAAAGAAAGAACTATACATTTCTGACTTTTTATGCCTATAATAGCTACAAACTTGAATTTGTATTAAAATGAATTAATCAATTATTTTTTATATTTTATTGTAATGTAGAGACACGGGTTTTAGTGACAATCATGTATTGCGTTACAATTATATGTAAAAAAAACAACAACAAAAACAAAAGTCTAAACATGATATTTGGCCTCAAATCATCTGAGGCTTTGGTATGTTTTTTAGGTATATTTGTTATTGTTTTTCCAGGCCTCTACCGTAATGCATGGATATTCACGCAATACAACGTGCGGGCTTGACTGTGTTTTCCGAAGTGGAGGCTGGCTTGACCGCTTCACCCTTTTTATTTACGACAAGACAAATGTGCCTTTTTATTTCATACAGTTCAATTTTGATTATTTGAGACTATAATGATCAAATTAAATAATCTAAACCTCAAGCATGGCGTTTCACTGTAAAGGGGGGCATAGCGTGTATGTAATTACATTGCAAATACTGACTTGAGCCCATAGACTGCTTGAGCCCCACCACTGTATGGGTTAGCCTTACGGTATAGACCCAGACCCAGCAAAAATACTCTGGAGCCGCCATTGATTGTAACGGAATGCAGCCATCACTAGTTTAAATAACACCTGTGCTTTTCCTACTGCGACATGTCAAAGAGTCTTCGAGATATGCCTTCTAAAAAGTCAAATGTGTTGAAAGATAATTGAACTACGCCACTGAGGCCAATATTCAGGACAAATTCGTCCACAGAGAAACACTGTTCACTCCTAACGCTAGGTGACGCTATTCCAATGCAGTTTACTCACTACCTTTGTGGGCTCCAGACGCCCCTCCGGCCCGGGAGAGGGCGCTGTGCTGCACGCCGGCCCGGAGAGACGCCGTGTGGGCTTTTTGTTCCCAGCTCCTCGGTGCGCTGTCCACTTCAGCACCACAAGCCGAGCAGAGGCAGCGGGCTAGCTAACGGAGACGAGGAGGGACGGAAGACACGGCTCAACATCAGCACCGAGTCTCAAATACCGAAGAATATCCCCCAGAAACGCCGACACCAACGAGGCTAAAGACTGCATAAAAGGTACGAGTTTCCCCACACGCTCAAATAGTATCAAGTTAAAGCAGTAGGAATAAAAACGAGTATCAATGAAGAAGCTCCCCTTCCCCTCCAGTTTCATAAATACTGTATGAGCGCATTGAGGCGTTGTTTACGTTAGCTTCTTGTTCCGTTAGTGCAACGTAATTCCCCCTTATGGTTAGTTTATTACCCCTTGTTGTAGGGACACTTGAGTACTACACCGCTGTGTTGTACGGAGACCGTGTTTTTGATGGGCAGCCTCTCCTCGCTTTGCAGATGGTGCTGTTTTTTTATAAACTCGTCGATTTCCGTCGCTACACTGTCGCTGTTTCTTTATATCCCCTCTCTGTCCTGGCTGCGGGACCTTTAATATCATCGTCACTGTTCTAATGCTGTTGCTGTTTGGGTGAATTGAAGTGCGTATTGTGTTGGTTAAACCGCTTTCACTCGGTTCTTGCGTTTGTGGGGTCACCCAGCGTTTTACACACGGCATATGTTCATTCACATCACACTTATATGAAACAATGAGTTGATGTAGATTATTAATTAAAAAATAATTAGAATTTGACCAATATTCGCATTGAACACTTCACAAGTGATCGTGAAAAGTGAGTAAAAACGGTGTTTAACCCTAACCCACTTTATCAATCTAGTCTAAGTGCTATAACGTTACCCTGTGTCATTCTTAATGTAGATAATTCAAAAAACAACTCTACGGGACGAATTATGAATTGACAGGTGTCATATGAATTGAAATTTGCACCAAAAAATGGCAGATCTTATTAAGGAATAATAGATTTTAATAATAAAAAAACACATAAGCATGGAAATAACATTGAGGAGATTCAGTATGAGCTTTATTTAAACTATTTTGCTGCTGTGGCTTTTACAGTCCTTCCATGTCTTTGTAATATCTCTCTATTACCAACATCAGAACAAATGTTAATACAAAGTGTAGCGGCAGTAAGAAGATGGAGGTTCATTACACACGGTAAATCTCTATAGGGATCATATTTATGTATTTCATTAGAGAGGAGCTGAGTGCTTGTGAACATGTCTCCTCAATGGAAATATTGTTTGTGATGGCAAATGTTGAATCTATTAGTCTTAAATCCATATGTGAATCTACAGAAGATGTATCACAAACTGTTTTGAAAAGCAATACATTTTGAAGTCTTAATCAGAAATGCCAAACATGCAATGATTTCAGCTTTACAAAGGAATTGCTGTTTTATGTGATTGTAAACTGAATATTTTCGGTTTTTAGGCTGTTGGTTTCATAAAACAAGCCATATGAAGATGTCAGCTGTGGGTTTTTTGAAAATGTATTTGAATTTGGACTGTTGGTTAGACAACCAGTTGCGTGCATTTGTCACCTTGGGTTTTGGCAAAGGATATTTTTCATTATTTTCTGACAATTTATAAACAGCACAAATAATTCATTGAGATTGAATCCATAATGTAAACAGTGCCCTCCCTAATTAATAAGCACAACTCCCATCATGCTGCTGCAAAATCCAAGACGATAAAACCCCAGCTGTGCGACAACATGCACAGTGCCTCGGTGAGTCAGTAATCAGCTGCTCGGCTAAAAAGGAGAAGTCAGCAGGAGCTGTGTGAGTGACAGAGACAGTGCTGACCAAAGGCTCAGCTGCATGGGCTCTGGTGAAGATAAACATTCCTGTGTGTATCTTGGAAAGCAGCCTTCCATTTTGTCTGTGTAGAGCTTGCATTGGCACGAGAGGCCCAGGTGAGGTAAGAGGCTGATAGAGGGATTAGCTTGTATTAGGACGTGGCCGCTCATAGAGGTGTGGGAGGAACGTCACTCATCTCCCTCTATCTCCCTCTGCCGTCTGTCTCCACAAAGTATCTGTCTCCTGCCAGCTTCACATTCGCATTGTTCCCGGGTGAACAGCGATATACCCCACCTCCGCCTCCACCACTTTGCAGCATCGCAATGTGTCTCCTGGCTGTCCCTCTCCGCCACATGCAGCCTCTGTCAGCGCTGGCCATCCCTGCGCTCGCCTCTCCTCTGCTCCCCCCCCCCAGCAGACACACGCTGCTCCTCCTCCTGTCCTACTTCCTCCTTCTTCTGCTCTACTGAAGGGCGAAGCCGCGGAGAGCCTTGTAGAGGGTGGGGAGAAGGACAGTTGAACGTGGGGGAAGAGGAAAGATGGAGTGGTAGTTTTTCCTAGGCTCAAGTGTTTTCAATAACCCGATATGGCTGCGGTGGAGTAGTCTTTTGTTGCTTAGAAAGGTTCTTAACTGAGTGAAATGACCCGAAGTACTAAGTGACAGCCGTGTTAGGAGCTGCTGGAATTCTCTCAGTGCTAAAGATACTTCCCTTTTCATCTCTTTTTAGCACAGAACTGAACTATGCTTAACCAAAGAAAAATAATTATACCGTCTCACAATTCTTTTTAGGAGCAGCATTTCAATAAAAGTACAGCATTTGAAAACCTCCTTCTTATAGGAACACATACAGGCGCAACACGTATGAAAATATTTTGGATAAGAGTCCTTGATTGAATTGTATCACATTGACATTTGACGTACTTATTGTCTTTGTGATATACATAAAGTTGCCTGAAAACAAACAAAAATATCAGCCATTGCTGTTTTCTTTTCCTCAGATTTGCCTATCAACTCTCCTTCACATCTTTCCTTGATCTCAGGATTGTTATTCTTTGAGGTCAAGGAAAAAGAGCCAATTCCCCCCAAAATATTGCTGCAATGTGAGAGCACAGCAGGGGCTCTCACAGTAGAGTGGGCGTTGAAAGAAAATCAGCCAGAAAGTGCACATGAGTGAGGACTGGTGTAGCCGGGCTGTATGGCATCACTGCAGGTTTTTTTTTCCATTATCATTTTCTTTTATTCAATAAACGTGTCAGTCTGTTTCAGATCCAAATGCACTGAGAGTATTTCTTGCTAGAGTTGAGTTATTTTGCTGTATCATTTGGATGGAGGGGATGTGGAGCATCTTTCTAAGGGAGCTGTGTTTGGTGTCGTTTTTGAAGCAAATCTTGGTGATCAGAGATTGAACGTGGAAAATGTTACATCTATTACAAATATATATAAGGACCACAGCGTTATCTTTCTTCTTACAATTTGGTAGCACTGTATTTTTCTTATCGGTCAGTGTATTTGTTATTGAAGGTTGGGACAATGACAAGCTGTAAATGATCTCAGATCCATAAACAAACTGTGTTTTCCCATAGGTAAAGTTGCATTGCTACAAAAAGGTGAGGAATCAATACTGGACTGTCATTTGAGAATATAGCCTCATATTACAGATGGTGCGATATCCAGCTTCTCTAACCTCCAACACTCTTGAAGAATGATGAGAAGCTACTATAAGAGCCTGGTCTAAATGAGATGGATACCCAGCATACTCGTGCTGTTGGTGGTCTGTTTCCGACTATGTGCTGTTGTTCTTGGTGTTTGTTGCCGTCCTCAGAACCTGCAGCCGCCCTCTCACAGGCAGAATGCAGCACTTACCTGAAATTATTTATCCCTGTCAGAATATCCCTCCTACCTCAGCATCTTTGCAGCGTGTCACAGCGCTCAGGCTGACAAAATAGAATAATAATAATAATAACTTGAATTGATATAGCGCCTTTCATAACCTCAAGGTCACTTTACAAAGAAACATACAAGGACAAGACATCAAAAACATAAACATAAAACGGGGCAGAAATGGAAGTGTAACTGGGGGGGGGGAGGGGGGAGGGGGGAGTGAGTTATTGTTGGAAGGCGATGTTGAACAGATGAGTTTTAAGGGTTGATTTGAAAATGTTGAGAGAAGGGGCGTTGCGGATTTCTGCAGGGAGGGAGTTCCAGAGAGTGGGGGCAGCGACACTGAAGGCACGGTCCCCGAAGGTGCGGAGGCGTGAATGGGGAATGGAGAGCAGGCCTTTACAGTAGTCCAGGCGTGAGGTAATGAAACAATGTATCAGCTTCTTAGCAACAGAGTCGGACAGTGATGGCCGGAGTCTTGAAATATTTCTGAGGTGGAAGAAGGCTGATTTTGAAACGGATTTGATGTGGTTTTGAAATGAGAGGGTTGAATCCAAGACAACACCAAGGTTGCGGACCTGAGGGGATGGGGAGATGATGGAACCGTCGATGTTGAGGAGCAGATCTCCAACCTTCCCGAGCAGTTCCTTGGGGGCCACAACCATGAGCTCAGTTTTATCACTGTTTAGTTTCAGTAGGTTGGTGGTCATCCAGGTTTTAATTTCATGTAGGCAGTTGATTAGTGACTGAGGGGGAGATGGGCAGAAGGTTTTGTGCTGATGTACAGTTGGGTGTCGTCGGCATAGGAGTGGAAACAGAGACCATGGCTGCGGATGATATCACCAATCGGAAGGATGTATATTGTGAATAGAAGGGGACCGAGCACCGAGCCTTGGGGGACTCCATGGTTGACAGAGGCACAGGGGGAGCTGCAGCCAGCGTGTGTGACAAACTGTGTCCGGTCCGAGAGGTATGAGTGGAAGAAGGAGAGGGCGGAGTCAGTGAGGCCAAGGAGTTCAGACAGGCGGGTGAGGAGGATATTATGGGAGATGGTGTCAAAGGCTGCAGAGAGGTCAAGGAGAATTAGTGTAGTGATGGAGCCTGAGTCAGCTGCGATGAGGAGGTCATTGGTGATTTTGATCAGGGCAGTCTCGGTGCTGTGGTGGGTCCGGTAGGCAGATTGAAAGGGTTCATAGAGCTCATGGTTGGACATGTGATGGTGGAGTTGGTCGGCGACTGCTCTTTCCAAGATTTTACTAAGGAAGGGAAGGTTGGAGATTGGCCGGTAGTTGTTGAGGTCAGTTGGGTCAAGTCTGGGTTTCTTCAGAATGGGGGTGACTGAGGCGGTTTTGAAGGATGTCGGGTTGATGCCAGTTAGCAGGGAGGAGTTAATAATGTCCACGATGGTGGGCAGAACAGTGTGTAATGTTGCCTTTACTAGGACAGTGGGCATGGGGTCCAGAGAGCAGGTGGAGGGCTTGGCCTTA